CAGTTGGAATCCAACATCTCCAAAACAGAAGAATGTGTCATCTAAACCTGAAATCTTTATAGCTTTGGAAACAGATGGAGGCCAGCCCAACTAGCGCAGTGACTTTATTTTAAATGTGTTATCTTATTTATGGTTCTATTCAAATATTTATCTCTATTGTTGTTGTTGGTAGGTGCCATCAAATCTAGCACAACTCATAGAACTCATAGACTCTATGAACAAAAGATTTGAAACCAGTCCTGTCCCGCACCATCCTCATCCTGACACACAAGAGCCTATTGCAACAGTCACCACGTCAATCCACCTGGTTGAGGGTCTTCCTCTTCTCGCCAACCCTCCACCCTTCCCAACATCATGTCCCTCTTTGAGGAATAACACCTTCTAGCAATATGTCCAAAGTATGTGAGGCAAAGCCTCATCATTCCTGCCTCCAAAGAGCACTCTGGCTGGACCCTCTCCAAGACATACCTGTTCATTCTCTTGGCCGTCCATGGAATATTCAGTGCTCTTCTCCAACACCACAGCTCAAAGGCATTAATTCTTTTTCTGTCATCCTTATTCATTTTCCAGGTCCATATTCATTCCAGATTCATTTTTCAGATGCATAGCGAGTAATCAGAAACACCATGGCATGAATCAGACTCACCTTAGTCCTCAAACTGACATCACTACTACTCAATAGTTTGGAAAGGCCTCTAACTGCTGATTTTCCCAGTGCAGTGTGTCTCCTTATTTCCTGACTGCTCGTACCAAGGTTAATTGTGACTCCAAGCAAGATGAAGCTGTTGACAGTTTCAATCTCCTCTCCATTATGACACTGCTCACTGGTCAAGTGGTAAGAATATTTGTTTTCTTGATATTGAGCTGCAATCCATTCTGAAGGCTGCATTCTTTGATCTTCTGCAACAAGTGCTTCAAATCCTCCTCACTTTCAGCAAGCAAGGTTGTGTCATCTGCATAACACAGGTTATTGACAAGTCTCCCTTCAATTTTGATGCCATACTCCGCTTCATATAGTCTAGCTTCTCAAATAATTTGGCTAGCATATAGATTGAACAGGTATGGAGACAGAATACATCCCTGACACACTCCCTTTCCAATTCCAAACCATGCAGTGCTCCCTTGCTCTGTTTGCACAACAGCCTCCTGGTCCAGATGAAATAGTTGGAAGAGCGCAATATCAGCAGTCAAAACTAGGCCGGGGCAGACTGTGGATCAGATCATCAATTACTTATATGGAAGTTCAAATTGAGGCAGAAGAAAATTAAAATAGGTCCACAGGAACCAAGATATGATCTTGAATTAATTCCATCAGAATTCCATAATCATCTTAAGAATAGGTTTGAGCTGCGCTGCAATCCTAGAGGTACATGGTTCGAATCCACCAGATGTTCTGCTGAAGAAGGAGGGACAATGTCCTCCTGTACCAGTCGGATCTGATTTGACTGAACACACACACAAAAAAAATAAAAAGAAAAAAATAGTTTTGAGGCATTGAACACAAATGATAGAAGACCAGATGAGTTGTGGGATGATATCAAATATAACACCCATGAAGAAAGGCACTGGGTGGGGTAGGTAGGGTCAATATGAGTCACAGTCAACTCAGCGGCACCTAATAATAACAACAATACATACATTTACAATTTTAAAAAATGAGATGTGAAGCATCTGGGAAGAATTTAACCTTCAGTCTCAGGCTCTCTTAATTAAGACGGGACAGTAGAACCACTGGCCGTTATGTGTAAGATAGTAAAAGGCTTCTGTGGAAGAATTCATGCACTTGAATACCCAGCACTGCAAATGGCCCACAGTATAGCACCACTATCAGTGGAACAGTGGGTTCATTGGGTTCTGCTCCTTTAGCAACAACTTTACAGAAGTAAAAACATCACCTCAAATGGTATGCTGCATTGAAAAACATTAACAAATAGTATTCCTAAAAGTGTTCTGATACTAAATAAATTAAAAAAAAAAGCTGTTCCTAAGGAAAACATTCAATACAGGTTGCAATTCAACATCAAGAAAACAACGATGCTCGCCACTGGACCAACAGGCAATGTAATGACAGAGGGAGAAAGGATTGAGACTGTCAACAACTTTATCTTCCTTGGATCCACTATCAACACCCTTGGTACCAGCAGTCAGGAGATCAGGAGACATATTGCACTGGGAAAGTCTGTAGTCAGGGACCTCTCCAAATTATTAAGGAGTAGTGATGTCAGTTTGAGGACTAAGGTGCAACTAATCCAGGACATGATCTTTTCAGTCACTTGCTATGCATCTGAGAGCTAGACAATGAATAAAGATGACAGAAGAACTGATGCATTTGAGAGTGATATTGGAGAAAAGTACCAAGGATCCCATACACTGCCAAAAGAACAAACAGATATGTCTTGGAGAAGGTACAGCCAGAGTGCTCGTTGGAGGCAAGTGTAATAAAGGTTCCACTCACATTCTTTGGGCATGTTGCTAGGTTATTTCTTAGAGATGAACATCATGTTTGGAAGGTGGGGGCAGTGAAAGAAAGGAAGGCCTTCAACCAGCAGAGATGACATGGAGACAGAGGCAATGGGCTTGAGTGTGTCAGAAATTTTGAGAGGACAGTGTTCAGATTGTCTGTTCACAGGACCTCTATGAGTCATACTCAACTTGATGGCACCTAACAACAAGGAAAACATTCTTGTTCTTACATTATATGAGTAACATTTAAAGCAAATCCAGGGCCCATGACAAAAAAATACCATGTTATTACTGTTTAGGGCCATCAAGTGGAGCCGACTCCTGGTGATCCCTTGTGTGAAAGTACAACTGTCTAGTGGGGTTTTCAAGGTGCTGTCCTTTCAAAAGAAAATTGCCAAGCTTATCTTCAAAGTCATGGCATGAGGGAGATCATTGCTGATATCAGAGGGATTTTCATTGAAAGCAGAGCATACCAGAAAGATGTTTACTTACTTTTTATTGACTATGCAAAAGCATTTAACTGTGTGGACCATAACAAATTATGGCTGGCACTGAGAAGAATGGGAGTCCCAGGTCTCTCTGGGTAGGGCTTGTAGTCTAGAACTTAACCATTCATGCTACCCAGGAACTCCTAAAGCTTAAAAAAATAAAAACCGTAGGCGGGGGGAATAAGCAACTGAATAAATATATATTAAACATGTCTTTTTCTGTCATTCACTATTTTTGCTTTATTACTTACATAGTGAAAGAATATATATAAAGTCTGCCATACTCTACCTTGTAGACAAGATAATTGTTGTTGTGTGCTGTTGAGTCACCTGCAACTCATAGCAACTCTGTGTACATTATCTCTGAACCCTGCCCTACCTATCCTGAGCCAATCTCACTGTCTCTGACAGATCTAATCCCACTTCTCCACTCACTAAATCAATCCGTCTAATCCTGGGTCTTCCTCTCCTGTGCTATCCCTCCACCCTTCCTAGCATGATGTCCTTCTCCATGGACTGGTCCCTCTTGGCCACATGTCCAAAGTATGTGAGAGGGAGCTTCAAAGTCCTTGCCTCCAGAGAGCAGCTTGGTTTGACCCTTCCTAGGGACCAATCTGTTTGTTCTCCTGGCAGTCCATGGCATATTCAATACTCTTCTCCAGCACAACTCAAAGGCATTGATCCTTTTCTATCAGTTAAAATTAAAATACATGTCAATAAATTATTTCATAAACAGTCTCTAGCCTAGAAATCTACCTGCAGGATCTCTCTCTCACTGGAAAGCTGTAGCACAGTAAGCCTGCAGCACAATAAGCCTGGAGACAAGGAGTAAGCAGGAGGAACCAGGTGCTGAACAGGTTTTTAAAAACTTTTTGTACAGGCAGGTTGTTTCATAGTTAATTCTCAGTGTTGATGATGTATCGTTCATCCACTGTGCATTTTTAAACTAACCTAAACAAGTGAAATGAAGGGCAAATTCTGAATAAAGTTCCGTTTTGCTTGTCTGGGGACAGAAAGTTAGTGGCAAAGAAGCCCACCTAGGGTCTTGCTAAAATGTTATTTCTGGATACAAATATCATCATAGTAGCTGGATTTTTCACCCTAACCTCCCTCCTAGGAGACTTTCTCCTTCTTCTCAACCAGAGCTCTAACCATAAAGGCTTCATTTAAGATTCCTAGATGGAGGGGTCCAGGGTAGTGTCACTTCAAAGGATCAAAATCTGCCTGCTCAGCGTTAAGTGCAACATGGGGACTGGCATGCACCTCGCCACTGTAGCATCATCCACACACTTTAAAGGCTGGATGCCCAAATTCACCCAGAAATGCCTTGGGATAAGCTTCAGAAAATTCAGTCATCAAAAGTGCCATAGACCAGAATGAAAACTGCATAGTGTAGTGGACTTGGAGAGGGGAGGGACTGTATAACAATGAAAGAATTTTTCTTTCACTTTTCAAAAAGAAGAACGAACTGGAGGGGATGGGTGGGCAGGGAGAAAAGTGAAACCATGAATGAATGGAAATCCAAAATCTCTGTAAATTTTCATTAAAATTAATAATAATAATAGTAAAAATGCTATGGAGGGTAGTTCTACTCTGACACACACTGGGGTGACAACGAGTGGGGCAGCTCCACCAGCAGTTTGGGGGGAAAGTGTAATACCTGTGAAAGAGCCAACAAGAGGTTGAGCACTGCTTCAGGCAAGATCTTCCCTACCACGAAGTACAACCCTGAGGGTGATGAGGCATCCCCCCTTCAGTGACAATTTAAGCACTCCAGTAAAACCACTCTATTCACTCCTCCACCCACTACCCAGAAAATCATACACAGGGCACTGTGAACCAAACCCAAATTACTTGCTTTACAGTAAAGGTAACGTTGATTCCTCTGTACGTCCTAAAAGCCAAAGCAATTTAAGTCATAGCCATTTCTATTCATGAACTTCAGCGCAGATGCTGGCCATATCAGCAGCTCTACTTCTGCTTATTTGGGTGGCTCTGAAAAGAGCCTTTGGTTTTTCAGGCGGGAAGCCCCGGCACCTGTGAGCTGCCTCACTTGCCCTTGGCCTTGTGGTGGCTCTCGGTCTTCTTGGGCAGCAGAACCGCCTGGATGTTGGGCAGGACACCGCCCTGCGCGATGGTGACGCGGCCCAGCAGCTTGTTGAGCTCCTCGTCGTTGCGGATGGCCAGCTGCAGGTGGCGCGGGATGATGCGCGTCTTCTTGTTGTCGCGGGCCGCGTTGCCCGCCAGCTCCAGGATCTCGGCGGTCAGGTACTCGAGCACGGCCGCCAGGTACACGGGGGCGCCGGCTCCGACGCGCTCCGAGTAATTGCCCTTGCGGAGGAGGCGGTGCACGCGGCCTACCGGGAACTGCAGGCCCGCACGGGAAGACCGACTCTTGGCTTTGGCGCGCGCTTTGCCCCCCTGCTTTCCACGTCCGGACATGGCGTCCAGAAGGTGTGGTCTAAAATCCCTGCAAGACAGAAACCGGAGGTTCTATAAGCATTGGACAGTGCTCACCCCAAACCATACCATTGGGCGATGTGGTGCACGCAGGCACCACCAGTGGGATAAAGACATTTTGAAAGTTGTATCCTTATTGGCTGTTTCTATTAGTGACAAGTTCTGAGGTTCCACGAATCAGACACAACCTTAAAGTTACCTCATTTACATACAACCCTAAGTGGACAGGAGTTTGAGTCTGAAGAATGTCTTTGTAAATAACTATGATGAGTTAGTCTCTTCCTACATGTCCAAAAATCTATCGATCCAGTGCAACAGCTATGAGCTCACTTGCAAACGCACTCTCATCAAGGCAGTTCTGCCTCACAGTGACCCTCCATGGAGTTTCTGAGACCATTAATCACGATGAGATCAGGCTGCCCATCTTTCTAGCTGTGGATTTGAACTACCGAGAGTCATGACCTTTTGATTAGCAGCACACCACCACATGGAAATGAGGAGGGGAGGTCTGGGACACCAGTACAGTGGGTTTTCCCTTTCTGGCATAATGTCAACAGTTATTTAGTTACTTTTGTTGCTGCTAATGTTCTTATATATGTCAGCTTTCTCTTGGGAAAAAATACTGAGACTTTGTTGAGACTGTTTTAGAATTTCTCTAGGAAGATACATCCGCTTATGTTTTTTGTACACTTGGAGGGAACTTGGAGAGAGGTCCAAAACAAGGGATTTTCAAACCTTTTTAACAAACCAGGAATTGTTACAAAAACCCAGTCTTTAAAACTAAGAAAGAACCTTAAAGAGACTAATTCCAAGCCGAAGGGAGTTCTGGTGGCATAGTCCATGGGGGTTTGTGCTCTTAACCAAAATGTGAGTTTCTCTGACAGTTTTAATCCACCTGTTGCTCTGTAGAGGAAAGATGTGCAATCTCCAATCTGATTTATTTTAATCCACCTGTTGCTCTGTAGAGGAAAGATGTGCAATCTCCAACCTGATTTATTTTAATCCACCTGTTGCTCTGTAGAGGAAAGATATGCAATCTCCAATGTGATTTACAGCTTCAAAACACCCACTGGAGACTCCGCTCCAACTCCATGTCAATGTTGCTACTGAGTACCATTGAGAACGCACCCATTGCTGACCCTCCAGTGGGTTTTCAGAGGCAGTAAATTGCACAGTAATTGCAATAACTATGGCCTAGATCAGGTGCACCTTAGTTTCCAGACTGACATGTTACTCTTCAGTACTTTGGAGAGGTCTCAAACAGCAGACTTTCCCAATGGAATTCATCTTTTAATTTCCTGGCGGCTGGTACCAAGAGTGTTGATTCTCGAGCCAAGCAAACTAAAGCTGTTAATAATCTGAATCTCTTCACCATCTATCACGATGCTTTCAATTGGCCCACTGGTGAGAATCTTTATTTTCTTGACGTTGAACTTCATATTTCCATATTGAAAGCTGCATTCCTTGACTGTCAGCAGTAAGTGCTTCAAATCCTCAGTTTCAGTGAGCAGGGTTGTGTCATCTCCATAATGCAGATTGTTGATAAGTCTTCCTCCAATCCTGATGCCACATTTCTCCTCACAGAGCCCAGCTCCCAGATAATCTGTTCCGCATAAAGAGTGAAAAGGTATGGGGATAGGACACACACCCTTCCCAATTTTGAAGCATGTGGTGTTTCCTTGCTCTGTTCTGATGACTGCCTCCTGGCCCAAGTATAGGTTTTGCATAAGTACAATCAATTGTTCTGGGATTCCCATTCTTCTGAGTCAGCCACAGGCCCTAATCTTTGCAATTACTTGCTATGTATCAGAAAGCTGGATAATGGCTAGAGATGATAGAGGGAGAATTGATGCCTTTGAGCTCTGGTGCTGGAGAAAAGTATTGAATATACCATGGACTGCTAGGAGAACAAAGAGATTCATCCTAGAGAGGATGAAATCTTAGAGGCAAGGATTCTGAAGCTTCACCTAACATACTTTGGGCATGTTACAAGGGACCCGTCCTTGGAGAGGGACATCATGCTAGGGAGGGTGGAGGGACAGAGCAAGAGAGGAAGACCCTTGATGAGATGCATTAATTCAGTGACTGGGATAACGGTGTAGGTGTCTCAAAGACAGTAAGGTTAGCTCAGGATAGAATAGGGTTCAGAGCTGCTGTACATAGGGTTGCTATGAGTCACAGGTAACTTGACCACACATAACAACAACAAACTGCAGAGTAGGAAATTACCCATCTTTTCCCCAAGAACAACTCGTGGATTCAAACCTCGTATCTCTGCATTGGTAATACAATTCCTTCTCAGTAAGCCACCAGAGCTCCCTCGATGTCAACAAGTTTTGAGTAGTCCAAGATTCAAGAGCACAGAATTTTCAAAATGAAAGCTGAGTGTAAATTCCAAGAGCTTATCTAAGGTATGTTGTTGTTGTTGTTGATGACCTTCCTGAAGCCGCTCTACAACTATGACATTTATCAAAATTCATAGAATTTCTGGAGGCATGTTGCTTAGGAAGTGGATGCCACTCCTGCTTCCATTACTAAGGTATGGCACATTCCTTTTGTGTCCTTGGACGCCACTTAGCAGTTTCTAGAGCTCTGATGGTTTAGTTCTAAGCAGTTGCATTGCCAGCCCAAAGTCATGAGGTTCAAATACATCAACTGCTTCATGAGAAAAAAATGGGCAATCTCTTCCTGTTTGATTAACTGCCTCTGAAAACCCATTGGAGGGTCAGCTTTGAGTTGGTTCCAACTCTATGATACACAACATCAGTTTCCATTTGAGAGATCATTCAGCAAAATAAAACTAATACTTAAGTATTTGAGAATAGTACAAAATGTGTTAGGCTGTTAATTAAAAGGTCGATGGTTGGGATCCATAGTCTCTCCATGGAAGAAACATGGGTGGTCTCCTCCATAAAAATGTATGGCCTACTTTTGTAGAATGGGACTGACACTAGGGTTGATGTGAGACTGAGAAAGAGGGGATAAATTATGTATACTGCATTGAAACAGATGAGGGAGAGAACTGCTTAAAAATGATATATGATTGGGTGTTATGGTCATGACAAGACCAGAATGAAGGCTGCATAGTGAAGTGTACTCAGGCCAGGGGGAGGGACTGTATACCAATGAAGGAATTTTTCTTTTACTTTTCAAAGAGAAGAGTTAATTGAGGGGGGGAGGGGGCCAGGGAGAAAAATGCAACAATGAACTAATGGAAATCCAAAGTCTCTGTAAACATTCATTAAAATTAATTTTTAAAACATGTATGGCCTCAGAAACTTGACAGAGGATTGGTATGAGTTAAGACTCTACACAATAGTAATAGATTTGGTTTTGACAAAGATACCTACAGGATAAACTCGATCAGAAGCTGACCTCTCCCCTGATCTTTCTCTTGCTCACTCTTCTGCATGCCACCTTCAGTCCTTTACATGTCACCTTCTGCCAGTTGCTATTATTCCTCTTGCCCTAATCACACAGTCCCTGTCCCATTCCCTTCTTCTTTTGCAACTATTAAATGGAACCTATTGTCTTAGTTTTTCCTCTATTTGAAAGTCATTACAAGTCACACATTTTTGTTCAGTGTATACCTGTTTTTTTAATTTAGGTACAGAATCCCGTTTTACACTTCCCTGTTTCCTTACGTTCTAAGTTACTATCATGCTCAAATGCTGCTGTCAATCTCATGTAAGGAATATGTATAGTAAGCACTATGTGGTCCACACTCTACCCCAATTTTAACTGCTAAGCTTCCCAATGAAACACCCCAGGTTATGGTCCCTTATGGCCGAAGGAGAAAATGACTTTTGAATAATCAGAAGTGTTGTTGCTGGGTCGTGGAATCATTAAGTCCTTAAATTAATTAAGTCTGCTAGATAGTGCTCCAGGCAGTTCGTAGCTACCAACAATGTTAATCTAACACTGTAATTCAGAGCCAATATACTTTGAGCCAAGCAAAATAGCCTGTGGTGTGGTGTGGTGTGGCGTGGCGTGGCATGGTGTGGTGCAGTGCTGTGTGGGCAGTGTGGTGTGGTGCAGTGTATATGGTGTAGTGTGGTGTGTGTGGTGTGGTGTGGTGTGGTGTGGTGTGGTGTGGTGTGGTGCAGTGTGGTGGGAGAAGGCTTCCTCTCCACTAATCTAACAGTGTTTTTACCATTATTGCTGTGTATTCACATCTATAGTGCCAAAACTATTACCTCTTTCTGAGGTTTCTTCCCATGCCTTTTGGCTTTCTCATTTGATTCTTTATAACTTTTAACCATTTTTATTTTTTTTCCATCTGGTTGCTATTTGTTCTTAACTATAGGAATTCATTGCATACTCTAGATAATTAACTTCATGGGGTTTGTTGTTGCTATTGTTGTGTGTTGAGGAGTTAGCTGATATTTATAGCGACCCTATGAACTCAGCCCTACTCTGTGCCATCATCTGACACACTTGAGCCCACTGCTACAGTCATTATGTCAATCCATCTTACTGATATCTTGTATTCCTTTTATCTTGTTCAAGACATAGTTGAGCCCATCTCATCTGTGGAAATTGTAATGGAAATGGCTTCAACTATTGTTAGGTGCTACTGAGTCAAATATGATTCAGAGTGACTCTTTGAACAGATCTGAACCCTTTCCTATCCTGTGCCATCTTCATCATCTCTGACCACTTGATCTCATTGCTGCAGTCACTGTGAGAGCAGAAGTGTTTTCTTTCTTCTTCTTTTTTTATTTTTTCAGAAGTGTTTTCTTAATGAGCTTAAACATCTTTGGAAAGAACTTGAGAGCACAAATGGTCCACAGACTTTCCAATAGTGGGAGAAGAATCATTTCATTTTTCATTGAACAACTTTCCCAGCTCTGTGTATTTCTTCCTCATACTCAGTGGTTCCAATTTCCCTACAGAACAGAGCTAAGGAACGTCTTATCACCAATGGCTAACAGGCAATTGGACCACAGATTTTCATACCAGGTCCATTTTCTATCCCTGTCCTCAACACCAACCACAGGCCCATTGCCT